TATCTTCAACCATATGTATAAAGCATTCCAAAAGTTTTCATATCTTGGAATCCGAAACGATCGACGATGAAAAAAAAAAAAAAAAATAAAATAAAATTGAAGCGGAACCATACTCAATATTAATTTAAACCCCAGTCATACCCCAGGATTCTTAAAACTTGCATCGACCCCCCTCCCCTTCCCCGAAATCCGAAAGATTTAAACTGTCATGGGGAATGATTTATTCAAAATTCAACGTCTAGCAGGATGCGGCATAAATCTCCTCCTGCGCTGGTCGAATTTTTCCATTCTCTCCCTCCAGACAAGGGATCACCTTCTCCCCCTTTCTTTTTTTTCTCTCTCTTTCTCCTTTTTTTTTCCTCTCCATATCTCCTTTTTCCTCCCCCCTCCCCCTCTGTTGGAATTACACGGTGCACGCAATTTCGCCGGAAATTCCGAGTTGAGCCGGAATCGATGCTCGACAAAGACACGAAAAAAATATCGATGCCCGCGTAGAATCGTTGGCAGATCCGTGTCGTCCTCGTCGTGTTCGTTCGTTTTCCTATTTTTTTTTTTTTTTCCCCCCCCCCTCCCCCGCGGTTGGAATTACACGGTGCCCGCAATTTCGCCGGAAATTCCGAGTGGAGCCGGAATCGATGCTCGACAAAGACACGAAAAAAATAGCGATGCCCGCGTAGAATCGGTGGCAGATCCGTGTCGTCCTCGTCGTGTTCGTTCGTTTTCCTATTTTTTTTTTTTTTTCCACCCCCACTACTCCTCCTTTTCGCCGATATTTGTCGCGACGCTCGATGGGAAGGATCGTTGAAAGTGGAGCCGATCGTATCGGCAATGCAAATAAATACGTGCGCGCAATATAATTCGAGGCAGGGGTAATTCGAAGACGATGTATAAATAGGATGGCGCGCGAAGAATTCGAAGGGATCGATCGATTTGTTTTGAAGGCGCCGCTTTGGATTTGGTCGAAGAAACGAACGGGTTGGTTTCTGAAACGAAATGTTTCAGAAGTGTAGAGGTGTAGATTGTACGTGTGAAAGAAAGAAGGTGTAACGTTGAGAGCTTTTTAAATTTGAATGGTTTAAAATTATTATATTTTATAATATCGTTATTTAAAATATTTTGGTTGGAGGAAAGAAATTTATTTCAGTATATTCAGTATAAGTAAATAGATAGAGAATAATTTTATGTATGATAATGAGTTGGAAAAAGGGGATAAATTTTGTTTGAGATTCGTTCTTTTGAGTAAATTGTATTATAATTATGTATTTAGTATTTTAAATATAAAGTATTATTAGGATAGGATATTGTAAAGTAGGATATTAAAAGGCAAAGGAAATTTATATATATTTTCTGTACAAGGTGGTTCAGATTAAGTGGTGTAAACGTATGTATGTAAATGTAATAGAAAGAGGGATGGAATTTGTTTATTTTGGGTAAATCTTGTTTGAGAAATTTTCAAATTCAAGTAAATTTTGATAACTTTAGATTGGATATAGCAAAGGGTAAAAGATTGTTCTATGAAAATATATAATATAGGTAAATGATGTAGAATAAAATTCTTTTATTTTAAAACTAGTTTTCGAGAAATTTCGTCTATGATTTATACTATATGTATACTATATTCAGCTACTCTTTCAGTGTTTATATTTTTATTTTTCTCAAAAATAAGAACAAAAAACAAAATTTTATTTTCACATATCTTTTCACTTGTAAAAGAAGAATAATGTAAATGTAAATAAATTATCTACAACGTGTTATACATCATACAAATATATCAAATTTACAATACAATCTGAAATTAACTTTGAAAAATTCTCAAATGTGAAAATAAAACTTCAAGTGAAAAAATTTTATTCTATCATTTCAATTCATCTTTGTAGAATCAATTGTTCTATCCTTGTATAATACTTGTAATCGATTACGTGCATTCTTATAACTCGTAATAATGCGATTCAACTGACGACTGGATATTGTCTGATCGCGGTCCAATGTCACGTATGATGTCCATGTCATTCGTATGTGAAAATGTTAAATCACTTGATGACGTGATAAATAGCGTGTTGTTAACGGTTTGAATTGAAATGAGACGAGTTCAAAGCCATTGTGAACTTTCTAAAAATAAGGAAGGATGAAATAAAGAATGAGGAAGTGCATATAGGGATGTTTAATCCTTTAATAATCTTGTACTATGATGACATCACTATGATCTCTATTGTGGTTTAAGGATTTAGCTTGAGATTATAAATTTTAGTTAGAATTTTTAAATGAAATTTTTATTTTATGTTGTTATGTATGAATAAAGATTTAATTAAGTTAAGTATTTGAGACTTTTATAAATTATTCTTTAGTATCTTTATTTAATTCATTTTTAGTTAATTTCAAAGAATAAATTTAGAATTATTTTCGAATAATATTTTTTTTTTTTACATAGAAATATTAGCACAATAATATACGAATAATTTTATACATTTGATTAAATATTTGTTATCATGAAATTGAATGTCTGAAGTATTCTTAAATAGATTTATACAGACGATGAATCTGAGAAATTATATTTAAATAGTTTATTAGATTACATGTGACATTGATATATGTAGTTTAATAAGAGTATTTAAGAGATAAAGAAATAATTGGAAATAGTATATCAAGAATTTTATATTTAGAATATCGTGACCTGAGAGGAATAGTTATTGAGATGGAAAGTTACGTATAGATTTTAGATAATAAAAATGAAAAATACTTGACAGAATTATGATTTTAACATAACAAGTTTCTTCCTTTTTTTGATTTAAATAAATTAATACAAATAATCTAATATCATACTATTTTTTTAAATAATTTTTTAAGGAAATTGAAATCGTGGAATCTAACAATTAATTAAGAATAATTTTATAATTATTAATCACATTTAATTTCAGAAAAATTTCTTCAAATTACTGTGTACATAACTTGTAATATTAATAATTTTCTAAATCAATATCTTGAACTTATTTTTATTCCATTTTATAAATTCTTCAAAAGTATAGATAGTTTGTGTTTAACTTAAATATTCAATTAAGTTCTCTTATTACTTTGCTCAATAAATGTTGAGCAAAGTTACATATTTCAATATTTGATATACTTATCCAGATTAATCTGAATTATCTTATTTATATAATATCCATAAAAATAATATTGGAATTATATTATATTCTTTTTATATCTCTTTATTAATTTTATACGTAATAATTAATTACAATACTTTTATTTTTTTGTTTCAGGTAAGAGCAGATAAAACATACATCAAACTAATATTATAATCAGCATCCAATATAAAGGTACAAATTTTTATTCCTTGCATGTATAAAGTCTCAACAACTTAAACTTGAAATCTCCATTACAAATGATACTTATCAAATCGACTGTCTCACTATTATCATGTATAATTATTTCCAATTCATTAGAAACAAATTTCTGATAATCTTCACATAAAATATACAGGAGAGCAAGTAACATTTTTACTTGCTTCGCCTCATATTTTTTTCTAAAAAAAAAAAAAAAAAATTACAAAAGGAATAGGTTTGCTCCCCATTCGTACAGAAAATATAATTTAAGTACAGACGGATTAATCTAATCAATCCCACGGATGCATCGCGAGAAAGTGCACGGCCAATTCGCGGTTTCGATCTCTCGTCCCTTGCATATTTTATCGATGCCGAAATACTCGAGGGATCCGTGGGGTGCTATTAAATTATCGATAAGAACCTGCACGGTAGAAAGTGGGTTCAGAGTTCGAGACGAAGAGGAGCCAGTTTCGAGTCGACGAGTCTCGGCTGCCAGCCAGAAAGCCGGGCCGAGAATTGGAAATTGGTATTGATGAACGACGAAACCGTGCATAATTTATTCATTTTCGTAAAAGCTGTTCCGCGAGGAATATATAATAAGCTTGATTTTTATCCATAACACGTAATACGCGGAGAAATTTTCATTATTGAAACTGAATTTGAGCCAATTTGTTGTTGCCCGTGTAATTAGTAATTTTTTTTCTTCTTCTTTTTTTTTTAATCAAGATTGATGAATTAGAAGTATTTCAAAATACGTTTTTCTCTTGAAAAACTTGAAATGATCAAACATTTGATATAGAAATTATTTGGAATTTTAAAATTTTTGTCCAATTAATGATTCGAACGAGTTATTATTCAATACAATAAGGAATGAATAGAAAATAAATAATAAATAGAAGAATCTTAGAAAACAATAAAGTAGTAAAAAATGTTTACAATATATCTCTGACACTTATTCAGAGCATGAAAAATTTTATAGGAGAAATTTGACCCGAATTCTTCAGATCGTTGCTTATGCAAATTTCCAGATTACTTTCTTTCTTTTTCCACTGATATAATTATTCCACAATGAGAGCAACTTCTCGAGTGTTCTCTTTTTTTTTTTTCTTCGAAATTAACGTAGAATTAATCGTTAAATTTGATATTTGATAATCTACTCTCTTTGGTGTTTTTAATAATGGCGTAGTTTATTAAGCAGAAATATTTGAACAATATAACCTATATGTATGCATTTATTTAAATACATACAATCATATAACGAGATTAAATTAATCCGGACACGCGTACAGTGCATCATTATAATTAAATTTGAATTTTATCATTACAAGTATCGATTATAAACCAAATCCTTCGTTCTATTTTTATAAATTGCAAATCATCCATAATTACTTTAAATAGAAAATTGGAAATATTAAATTTAAATTTTATGAATCTTTAATAAATAAATAAATAAAAAAAATGAAATTATAAGGTTAAAAATATTTTTAAATTTTGTTCGTTATAAATCATATTTTTAAATATTATTTTATTACGTTATATTTTAATCCAATCATTCCAATAAAACGAATATAATCAAAACATGATGAATAACAATTTAAAAATAATTGAGGTTCGTCTATTTTATTATATCCATTTGGGAAGATACAGGATTATAAGATAAATCGGCCGAAAGCTTTATGCTTTCCATCGCTGTGAGATATTTTCCGCACTCGTGCACACTATATTTCGTTTATTTATTTACGATCAAATCGCATGACGCTGGTTCTCCCTAGTCCTTTTTCATTCCTTGATTCCTCTCCACGGAAGCAACATTTTTTGCAACGCAAAGAATTCCTCACAAGATTCTTGCTCACAAAGAATCTTCCCTCTGTGCATCCAATATGATATGCACTCGAAAACAATTCTTCTGAAACGAATAGAAGGATCTCTTCAAACGAACGAAGTTCTTTTTTAGTCAGCTCAGTCTATCAGGGGAATTTATAACTCGAACAACGTGCAAAGAGAAACAACAATCAAGAGAGAAAAGAAGAAAAATAAAGAATTAAATTATTTTTATACAAAATTCTTGTATTTCCTCATTTTATATTTTTAAAATAAATTACGAGCACGTAATAATTGTAAAAGATATTCGTTATAATTGGAATAACAATAAAAAAAGGGGGGAGGGGGGAGAGAAAAGAAAAATATTGGCATAAAAAAATTATTCTATTTATATTTTCACATTATATACCACTTGTAATTCTATGTTCAGCACTGATTTTAAAGTTTTTTTAATTGTAAAAAATTACAATTTTGATGGGATTATAAATGTTATTTATTATCTTCTTTCTATCATATTCTATATTTGATTTTCCTGGTATAAAATTATTATAATCGTGTGTATACGTGTAAATAAAAATTGCGTAAATATTATTCTTATTTCGAGAAATTACAAATAAAGATTGAATATATTTATACATTTATTTAATAATCGTTTCTACACGAACTGTTTAATAAAATATCAAAGTAAATATTTCCTCGATAAAAATAGTTCTTCAAGCGAGAAACTTAAAAATATCATTTTCATATCTGCATACATAAATATGAAATATTATTGATACACTTAAACTTAATTAATGGTATGCAGATATTTTTTATAATCAATATATCCATCTGGTTTTTCCATCCGATCTCGAAAATTAATACATCAAAGGACAAAATATACATATAGAATAACAGGAAAATTTCCCGCAAATATGTGTTTTAATCATATTATACGTTTGTCGTTTGCATTCACTTCTGTGACGTTTTGTTTACACGTGTATAAAAAAAAAAATAATAATAATAAAAAAAACAACGTTACAAAAGCTTTCTAATTTTGTAGGAAAAACGAATCAATCGAGTAAACATTTGACCATTTTCGTGATACAGCGCTGTGTCAAAACAACCACTTTTCAGCAAACCAAGTGGCCCTTGATTCTGCGTTTCAAAGAGAAAATTGCATCATTGGAAACCTTTTAACAATGTGACGTTTTCTGTGTCGCGATCGAAAGGCAAACGAATTTTCGTAATGATGAGAATAACTTATTATTACGAGTGAAAAGAGGTTTGTTGTTGAGGTAATTTTTCGACCACGAAATGAAAATTTTAAAGGGAACATTATTGGAATTTAAATATTCTTTTTTAAATGAAATACAATTTATATGTAATGCCTTCCACTCTTTCAAATCGACAAATTTTGTTAACATATTTGAAAGATTATTTTGAGTGAAAATCGTTATATAATCCATTGTTTCATCTTCTTTCTCGGTATATGAAGCGATATATAAATCAATCAAGTATTTTCAAGCTATTTAACTTTCAATAATAATTTAAAACAATGTTTTACACTGATTTATAATATTTTACACGAATTATTCAAAGTATCTAATATAAATCAATCTTCCAATTATCATCAAAAATAATTTGAAGATATCTGCGATTTATGCTTCAATCTAAATTCCAAATTTTCTTATCTTTAAAACAAAGACAAATTGATTTATGAATTATATTCATTATTTTTTAAAAGGTTCTAATTAATAATACAAATTAAACCAGATCTATTATTTCATCGAAAGAAAAACATTTTACGCTTCTACCATTCTAAAAATATTTACAATCACTCTTCATTAGTTTGCTTAGCAAACTTCTTATTTACTTCTCGATATTCCTCGAACAAGATCCTGCGTATCTCGATAATCCCACGAGCAAAACAAACATCGTTTCACTCTCTTTTCTAACGAAACGAGATATCCCTTCTCCTATTATGAGTAATTGCGTCGAAATAGCCACGCGAATACGAACGCCACGAGCGGTGTCTCTCTCTATCTCCAATACAGAGGCAGCGAGAAACGAGATATTCGAAATCGAAGTCGAGTCACAGAGAAAGAGAGAGGGAGAGAGCTGTTAGGACAGTGGATAAGGTAATTTGGAGGGCGAGCCTCGGGTTTCCAGGCAGCACGCCAGCAATTGCGACTGTAGATTCGTATCAAGACACATCGTCGAGGAGGAATACGGCAAGTATGTATATTCGTTAACTCGATTAGCCTTAATTAAGAGCCTGAGCTTATTTCGATCTGTCGGTTAATCGGGTCTCGTCTGTGTCGTGCGCTTGACTTTGAAATAGACTCGAGATGC